TAAGTATTGTTAAGCTAAGTTCGAAAAAAAACAGTCCACTTACCTGTTATTAATTTTTTTAGGTAAGTTGGTATGTTTAATAACATTGTAGGTAATTCTTATAGAATACAATATAGAACATTTTACAAATATGCTATTTACGCCTATAAAAATATTCAACTACACGCTTAGGTTGTAACAGACAATCTTAGGCCAAATACATAAAAAAATGAGATCGAGAGTTACAATTAGCCTGATATATCCCGCTGCTGGGCAAAGGTCTCCCCCTGATCCCTCCACGCATCCCGATCCTGAGCTAACTGGACTTCCTCGGTCTGCCGCGGCGCCTTACACTTTAGGGCTCCACTGGGTTGTTACCTTGGCCCACATGTCTTCAGGCATGTAGCAGACATGACCAGCCCAACTCCATTTCAGATTTATGCAGCAGCAGAGGTCGACTGTATTTTGTTATATAAAAATTATGCCGTTATTCCTTACCCTATCGACGATGCCACGTATTTGTTTAAGATATGGCACGTTTGAAACTGATATCGCAGTTATATTATTTTTTATAACGAATACCTTAACAAATAAACACGAATACCATATTTCACAAAATGAATGCATTCTATACATTAATCGCAACGCCTTATTATGTATGTACACTTCACCCTCATTAAGAGACTCTGCTTTTCTCCGACTGTCGAAGTCCCATCTTGAAATACCATTAACGACTAAACATCAACGTAAAATTTCATGGTATTCCTTTAAGATGTTAATAAGTACTTAAAAGGTATTACCATAGATTTAGTGATGGGTATTACACATTCGATTGGTTCGATTCCCAGATGAGGTATGTTACTTTGTCTTAGAGTGAAATAAAATTTTGAACTATTTTATTTTTAACCGACTTCAAAAAAAGGAGGAGGTTCCCAATTCGACTGTTTTTTTTTTTCTATGTATGTTACGCGATAACTCCGGCGGCATTTATGAACCGATTTCGATGATTCTTTTTTTGTTGGAACGAGGGTACCTCAGAAGTGGTCCCATTTAAATTAGAAGAAAGTATTCTACCTCTAAGGGTGGCAAAGTAGGGAATGAATGACTGTTGAGGTCGATTTTTAAGTAATAGTGGTAAGTATTATAAGTTATACTTACCTACTATTAAAAGTGAATAACAAGTCGATAAAGCAAAATAATCTACAAAAATTAAAATACTTTTCTCCGTGTCGCATACCCGTGGGACAGCCTGTATATTAACTACCGTTACGACACACAGCTTAAGAAAATCAAATTTTAAGATCTAAGATTTTTGAACCTCGATAACTTTATGTTTACAAACCTTGTAACTAGGGCCTTACATTGGAGACAATGTTAACCGGTCATTTTATAGCAAGGTTTGAAATTATCAAGATATTTATTTTCTTTGAAAATTATTTGATAACTATTCGATATTCAATCCGATAATTATCCTTGCTAACCATTGACTTACAAATAAATGGACGACGGGTCTAATACAAAAACCACGAAAAAAATGTCCCAAGTCAACCTATTCGAAATTTAAATTGTAATGTCATCGCAGTATCGCGCTGTCAGTAGAACAAATGACGACTAAAGCGGAGTTTGGCGCTCTGTATACGATTTTAGCGCCTTACAAGTTCGGACATTTTTTAGCGCGGACCCGACGTCCATATAATTGTAAGTCAATGTTGCTAACTCATACTTTTATCTCTATTAAATTTATGCCTAAAATGACAAACAGTGAGAAAACCTTACTATTTTTGCCATTCTCTAGAGAGAAAACTAAATAAAAACGAAGAAAAATCGTTGGGAAAACGATTTGATTTGTGACTTTTGTTGAGATTGGCATTTGACACGTCTCGGATACAAACACACGGCACGACACGACATTGCTGTAGCATTTTGTTGTTCCAATTAATTTTATAAACATCAAGATAATAAAATTATCCCGTGATAATTATATTGATAATAATAAATGATAATTATGACTTCGAATCCTATTTTATAGTACCTACAACAGGACAAAAAAATCAAGCAAAAAAAAAACAAATATAACCTATAACTATAATTATAACAAACTAGTGGAGTAATTTCACATAAAAAAATAGTTGAATATCAATTCAATAAAAATTTAAATATAACCGATCTTCATCTAGGCGCATATCACTTTTTAACTTTGCCAGTCATGTTCATCACATGGCATGCATTAACTTTGGCAGTGACATATATGTTGATAAAATACCTATTAAGGTATCATGCATTTCGTGCCGTCTTCGCTTCGCTTTCGCGTATGCTGCTCTCCGTGCCCCTCGATGCAATGTGTGGGGATTTGTATAATTATTATATTTATATATTTGTATATTCAAAATACCTATTATGCTTCGCAATCACTATGTTCGAACTAGTGTCGAGCCATGGAAAAATATCTATAGCAAAATTTTTCAAATATTTTCTAATTATTTTATTTTTACTTAAGAGGGAGCATGCCAAAAAAGTTTTGACGTTGGCTCCGCCCAAATTTGTAAAACAAATAATATATGCCTGAAGTTCGCGTGACATGCGACAGGAGATGTTGAATTTTGCGCATTAAAAGTACCAAATTCGTTTTAGCGGAATAACTCTAAAACTAAAGGGATTAAAACAATCCGTAGTGACAGTTCTCGATCATGCATAAATATAATTAAATCTAATTTTAGTCCTAATAACCTGTAGCATTTCGAGGATGAATCGAAAAAATGTGAAAATTAGAGGTCATTTCGTGATGATTATCGAGGAAACTTTATGTTTTATATTTCTGATTAGTGTCTATGCTTGAATATATCGTGTAGTTACTCAAACAATATTTTATTTTTAACTTTAAAGTGGATATACACCTCTAAAATCAAACCGAAGATAAGGAATTTTTCCTCTGCTCCCTCTTAATATTATGATTTGTATCGAATTCTTAGGTTTTCGCGATTGTCACACATAGGAAATGAAACTGTTTTTCCAGATTAAAATCGCGTATGTTTGTTTTCAGTCAACCGTGACCATGGGACCTGTAAAGGGCCCGAAACGTCGGTTTGTTTGAAAAAACAAATATACGCGATTTAAATCCGGAAAAACAGTTTCATTTCCTATTATGATATGTTTTTACTTATGTATTTTTTGTAGATTTACTATGAAAAAAGTAGTTTGTTAATTATGATTGTTACAAAAATCGAACAAACAACCTTCCTTCAACTCCTTCAACCCAACTGGACTCAAACTAGCGTCTCGCCTCTCTCAACGTGGCTACATTTTCAAATTTTGCTGATCTTTTCTATTTTTCATCTTCTTTTATGATACAATAAGTGCATTTGGCCTCCATGTCACCTGATGGAAAGGTCAAATGCACACTAATACTTATAACGACGATGAGCTCAACGATGGAACATGCAAACCTATTCACTCTCACCTTGAAAAAGCCGAAAAGCTTCTCGTACTGAATAATTTCAGTATAGGGTACTAAAAAACCGACTTCAAAAGTCCGTGGAATTAAATCCATTTGCCAATTAAGTTTCATTGAAATCGGTTACCGGAAAGTGCGCGTAACCGGATTCATTACCTAGTTAGCCACCCTTAGAGGTGGAATATTTTCTTGAAATTTAAATGGGACCAATGAGGAGGGACCCTCTTTCCAACAAAACCAAAAAGAATCATCAAAATCGGCTCACAAATGACGGAGTTATCACGCAACACATACAAAAGAAAATACAGTCGAATTGAGAACCTCCTCCTTTTTTTTTAAGTCGGTTAAAAATATTTTTAAAAATGTCTTACTTTTCAAATTATTTCGGACTATTTCCCAACACTAGATCGATCTCGCTTGCCAACACGGGATATCGTTAGCATCTTTCAGCACCGAGAGTAATTTAAAGGCACAACAACTCTCGTCTGAGTAACTACGAAATGATTTATTTTTTCATTGAAAACAATTGAAATGTAAAAATACTTACTTCAATCAAGAATTGAACTCGAGTGGTAACTTGTTAGCAGAGTTCATTTAATAAAACATATGTCTAAGGAAGAAGAACGAGTTTCAAGAAAAGCAGGGGAAAGAAAAAAGGATATATCATCAACATTGTGTTTATTCATGCTTGACTTGAATAAGTTAAAACAAATTATTTCTTTCATTCAACTCAAAACTAGAGCAATGGAAACTACACGACACTCTACTATACACTAGCTAAACCACTTCTATTAATCAAATTTAACCCCATATCTCGACCGACCACTACCATAGATATTCAAATTTCACATGTCCATTTTACTTTTGTGACTAATTTTTCCCATTTAACAAAGAGGTAGTTACTAAGCATTGCGTACATTGCCTTGTATTACGTTTTCATCGACAGGCAGTCGGTAAACACGTATATAAACATCGCACTTGAAATCGACTGTCGTAACTCAAAATTTGGTGGAGTCGAGAAAACAAGATTTATCCATTTATAAATAGGAATATAAATTTATATGTACCTAAAAAAATATTTTTTACTAAATGTGTATAATAAAAAATAGAGTTGGAACGAATATTACTATTCGGTATTCGGCTTATTCGGCCTGTTTTTTACTATTGATGAACTTTTAAATCGTGTTTTCTGAATTCCGCAATTTTGAATTACGATAGTGCTTGATATCATGTGCGACATTTCCCTGCGCACGAGCAACGCACAGGCTAGAATAATTTAGCAACATACTAACAACATGAATTTTTTTTAATAGTATCATCACAAAAATAAAATACATATTTCGACTCATCCGTAGAACAAAGGTCTATGTGTAAGACTACTTGTTCTCAGGACATTGTACATTTCGTTCATTCTTTATCGCTGTGGATGTCAGATTGATTGCCTTTGTTTTTTTTTTATATTTCCGAAACGAAATAAGATATATAAATTCTCAAAACACCTTGACATAGACCTTAAGTTTGAATAACGAAATTGTTTTCGTAACGTACTTATTTTCTTTTCGCTATATAATCACATCGGGCTCTGTTCTTCGGATGAGTCGATTTTTCACTCCCAATTTTTCATAGTCCACACATCTTCTAATAAATATAAATAACCCCCAAGGTCTTCATTTGTTATTCATACTAATTTTCACAACAACAACAACAACAATAAATGCATCAGATAAATAACTATACATTTCGAGAAGTATACATTCTAGTGACTTGAATATAATAAAATTATAAACACCATTTATTTAGTTTTTTAATACTACAATTCAAATGGTGAAAATATTAACAATAAGGTAGTAAAAGTCATACAACAGGAACATTTCTAACACATGCTATAATTACAAGTCACTAAAAAGCCACGCCGTTCATTTAGACTAGACACTGTACAGGTTTCGTTGCACGAAAAACGCCAATTCTTTTAGAAAATTGATACAAATTGAAACAAAAAGCGATATAAAAGTTGTCCGTCATAATTATGTAAGTTTATACGATGTAATGTCGTAAAACAATATCAATAACTATCATAATAATAAGTACGCTTGCAACGCTAATGTATTATTTAAAAAAAAATTGTGTGAAACTAAATAAGAAGCAACGTACGCCTATGTCACCTGACTTGTTTCGTGCAACTAGCGGCAGCTACAAACGGTCTTGCGCGACAAAACGAGCGACAACGACACGCTCGGCGGTTGTTCGTTTCCGATAAATAGTCTGGTGAAGTAGATGTGGCACGGACGGTGACGTTTGTGTCGTTTGGTCGCGCGAGAGCGGCGAGCGGCGTGCGCGGCAGCTCCCAGCGGCGTAGGCTCCCGTCAGTTGTCATCTTCGTCATTCTCAAACATGTCGTTGTAGTCTTGCGAGTGATCGAACTCTTTCAAGTCCTGACGGGCAAACGCGAAGTTTTGAGAATGAATAAGAATACAACTTTGTACGAGTTGAGACTACAAAATATTTCAACTAGTGATAACTGTAAACTGTAAAGTCATGGTTGAGGCGCAGGTAGTTCTACTAGTACGTAGAACTCATACAAGTTGGTTCTAGCGCGTAATCTCGCAATTACGCAACCATGTTGGACGAGTACTAAAAGTAACATTGCTACAGAATTACATCAGAAAATTCGTCTTAACGCGATAAGCTGTATGACAATAACCTACATGAACAGATAGAGACAGTTAGAATTCATGATAGTGGTACGTGTAATTTACATCAATATCATGCACATAACCACACACAACTAAACAGAGACACAAATAGGTACAGTCAATGACAAAAATAAGTAAATAAGGCATAAAGTACATACTAAACATGTACCACACACTGCAAAAGTGTACATCGTTCCACGTCACTATTCAAATAAATATATTAAAAAATATAAGACACAATTTTATTCTTATTCGTTGGGGGATCACGCATTTTTGCAACCGATTAAATATTACCATAGATTCATCAGAATTAATGTTACGTAACAAATAATCCTTATGATACGTTACGTATTAGTACCTACAAATGCTGCAACAAAATATATTCGGTATATTCGGCCTCTGGGCGAATCCCGAATGTTCTAGAAGCGTATGGATATTCGGCTGAATATTTGCTCAAATTATTCGGCCTGATTAAAGCATGTACGAAAATTAGCACGAAAAATGCCACTTATTGACTTTAATTATGATAAATAATTTTGTGCAATGAACCAAAAAAATACTTTAATTTTCAAGTCAATAATTTAAATTTATGACTTAATTAAGAAAGTAATTGTTTATTTCACTTCAGTTTGGTTAATTTTCTAAAACTACATTTTCTTTAGTCTTTTAGATAAGGAAACAAATTATTGTGGTTTCACGAACGCACATGTTCAGCATTAATAAAAGTTACTGATAATTTGCTAGCATTAATAAAAGTTATTGATAATTTGCTGTTTTTTATTAATTCAATATTCGAAATTCAGCTGAACAGCAAAAAACAGACCGATTAAGCCAAATACCGAATAGTACCGAATTCGTTGCAACTCTAATACACATTTGTAAAAAAAGATTTGTTTAGACACGTAAGGATACCTATTTTCGCCGTTGACGGTACCAAAATAGGGGCAATTCAAAATAACAGTAAATAAAAATAAACAGCAACTCACCTGGAACATGCCGTTGGCTATCGCGTAGCCGGTCATGGCGATGGCGGCGAACAGCGCCGCGAGGATCTTGTTGCGCGTCTGATTTGGGAAGTTGGCCGCCTCGCGTTCTGACTGCGTGCCCGTTGAATGCTTTTTGTTGTGTTTCAAGTATTCTGCCAAAAGCCACAAAAATTATGTACCAGAAGTGACCCTGTTTTCAGAAATGTTTACATTTAGCTGTGTGTGGATAGGATATATTTATATTCTCAGCTGTCATAAACAACATTACTTCTCGTGCAAAAGCATAGTTTGGTAAAGCGTCTAAGAATTTGGAAAGCAGAGAACTTTACCATCCACCATGTATTATCATTACTTGTGCTATATAATAGGGGTTAAAGTATGAAATTGCCGATTTGTACCTACTGAAAATGTAAATTGTTTATTTTTTAAATTTTTAACAAATTTATGTAATCAAAATAGTTGCCATTATTATCTATACATTGCTGCCATCTAATGGGAAGGTTATTAATGTCTTTGCGATAGAACTCCGACGATCTAGACTGCACAAACTGTGTGAAAGCATTTTGTACTGCCTCCTGGGAAGAAAACTTCTTGTCACGTAGATAATTGTCCAAATCACGAAAAAAATGGTAGTCCGTTGGAGCAAGGTCTGGTGAATACGGAGGATGACGAATGGTTTCTAACTGCAGTTCCTGAAGGGTCAAAATGGTTTCTCGTGCTGTGTGAGGTCTCGCGTTGTCGTGGAGCAATAATGGTGAAGGTCGATTCATGAGTCGTTTTACTGCTAGTTTTGTCAACATGGTTCGGAGTTCGGCACAATAGACATCTGCCGTTATTGCTTGACCAGATCGGAGAAAACTATAGTGAATAACACCATGCTGAGACCACCAAACAGTTACCATTACCTTTTTATTGGTAAGTTTTGCTTTAGGACACTGTTGTGGCATTTGACCTGGGGTCAGCCATTGCATTTTTCTTTTCCGGTTATCATAAAGAATCCACTTTTCATCACATGTTACAATTCGATCCAATATTCCTTCATTTCTGTACCGGTTCAACAAGGCAACACAAGTTTCAACACGCGTTTCTTTCTGCAGATCAGTCAAATCATGAGGCACCCATTTTTCGTATTTTTTTATTTTATTGATTTGACGCAAGTGAGTCAATATTGTGGGTAAGGTAACGTTAAACCATGCCGCTAATTCCTGGGTAGTTTGACTAGGATCGGCTTCCACTATCTCTCTTAATTCATCGTTATTCACCTGTGTGGGCGGTCTTCCTCGTGACTCGTTCTTTAAGTCGGAATTTCCATCACGAAAGCGTTTAAACCAAAATCGCACGGTGCGTTCATTAGTAGACCCCTCTCCAAACGCAGCATTGATATTGCGGGCTGTTTCTGCCGCGTTAGTTCCGCGTCGGAACTCGTATTAAAAAATCACTCGAATTTTCGCAGTATCCATCTTTCTTGTCTAAATTGAATAACAAAAACAATTGAAAGTCGATATTCAAATGTTTCAAATTTAAAAAAAAAAAATCACAGAAACCATTTGAAAAAAGTTTCATTCGAAAACCTCAAACCATGAAGATTCTATGAAAATTCAAAGAACCTATTGCAATAAAACGGCAATTTCATACTTTAACCCCTAATATTTTGATTTACTGTGTTATATATTACAATGAAATTGAGAGTGATTTGTGTTCTTATAGCAAATGCTTTAGGCACTTGACACAATAGTAGGATAACCTTACATTTCGATACCTGCAATGAACACTACGTCAACTTCATTTTTTGGTCATTTTCTGTTTTTCATATAAACAGTCTTATTTTATTTATTAATATTATGCTTCCTGAATTTTGAGAAAAAAAGTAAAAAACAAAAAGCAAAATAAAAAGTAAGAAAAAACAAAACTTGAAAAAAAAAAACAAAAACAAAATAAAAACAGAGACGACCAAAAAATTCAGTTAGCGTAGTGTTAATTGGAGATATCGATTTGTTCATAATAAAGGAAATAAAGTATATCTGCAAGCTCCACATGAGGGAATCACCACGATACAGAATCGCAATTTTTTTTATTTTTATGTAGTATGAGTGAAAAAGACGTTCTGCATTTCGCGTCGACGTCGAATCGAAACGCGCAGACTTTTTCACTCTTATTGCATGGAAATAAAGCTTTTTCGAATCGGCTCAAGCCGATTCCGCGTTAATAGTAATAATAATAACGCACACACTCAACATAGCCGCGCACCAGAGAAACCCTGTGTCGCGGGTGCCATGGACACACATATAAACAACTACAAATTACGCCCAAACTCACGAGAGAAATAAATGTAGGCCATACAAATATTTGTCCCGGCTCGGAAATCCAACCCTCCCAGAGGTCCCCCTCTGCGTGGCATGGTAACCGTTCGGCCATGGAGGCAGTTAATAAGTGTGATTACTCCCTAAAGCGTTATAAATGTTGACTTACCGTCTGTGACATGCCTAAAGTTCTTTTGTTGGATCCTTGCCACAAACCTAGTCAGGTTTGTAATGCCTTTCACAGCATTTGATAGTGTGGCATTCGGGAATGGCGCTTTTACTAATGGGGCAAGATATGCGAAGACAGTCGCGTCGAAAGACGACGGTCGGTTCCCAAAGAAGTATTCACTCTCGCCTAGTCGGTCTGAGAGTGTTTTTAGACACTTCTCTGCTTCATTATATATCTGTCATATTAAATTATTTATATCAGAAAAACGTTAAAAAAAGCATGGTTGTATTGGTCTAAAACTTAGGCAGATATTAGGGCGCCTTCAAATTAGAAGCTTGTAGAGGCTACAGTGGCGCGACTTGTGACTGTAAAAGTGGCACGTGCGTGTCACGAAAGTGGAGCTGCATCTGCACTTCTTAATATTGAAAATAAATTAGTACTCCCGCGGCTGCAGCACCAGTGGCGCCACTGCAGTGATTCCACAATTTTTTTACACATATAATTTTAAGGCACCGTTAGGACTCAGTTTATATTGCAGAACTAATTTCTTTTTGTTACTGGTGTTCTGTATTACATGTTGAAAAATTAGTTCACTATATTGTTCATGGTCTGCAAATTAGCACATACTTCAAGTCAATATAGCTATTTATAAGTAAGTGTTTTTATTCCTTCCTATTACTGATTTCAAATCAATTTAAAAACATACAAGGAACCATCACTACTGGCTTTTAGATTAAATGTTAATTATTTCTGGTACTATGGTCACTTCCAAATTGCAACAGATATCAATACCAGGTTATTAAATCATTTAATTACTGTTGAAATGAAGGTAGATTTCTAATGAGAGGGAACAACAAATCCTCATTGTTGTTGTTGTATCTATAAAAAATCCAAAAAGAAAACTATTGTTCATAAAAATTGTCTATTGACACACTGTCTTCATCAGAGTACAGTAGTTTCTTTTATGTGATATAATGAATGTGATACCAGTAGAAACTGCTAAGTAGTAGCTTTAATCAGCTCACATTATTGAATCAACAAAAAAGGTGTAACACAATAAACTTTCAACATTTTTGCACCTGCATATTAATATTATTAACTTTGGACGTCATAACATGATACAAATAATATTTTTTGCAAGTAGATAGAAACCAAACGTCCAAAATGTAAACTACAATTGCATTATTATTGTAAGTGTATAAAGATGTATATTATTTATAGGTAATTTTCCGAAAAACTTTTCAAATAGTGAAAATTTTTCCAGAAAAAATTCTGAAATATTGGAAATATACAAATATAAATGCTCATATTATGTTCTACATTTAGAAATATAGTTTAAAGTTTCATTTAGCATTAGTTATTAAATAAATACAAAAGAAAGAAAAACAAGATTTATATAAAGTTTGTTGTCATTCAGTATCTTTAACTTTTGACATAAATAAATGACAATTATCTTAACCTGTACATGACCAGAGCGGCCGAGAACCGCAAAAGGCTCAAATACGCCAATTACTCAGTGCTAAAGCTTTGTGCCTTTTGCGGTTGAAACTGTATGTTCAAACATAGTGCTCTATGAAAAAAAAATTCCATTCATTCAATTAAAGTTTTTGTAATCTATTGATAAATCGAAAATTTCAAATTGCAATCGAACGAGTATCTAAGTGTAAAGATTTGAAGAAGGATTTAAAATTAAGATTTCAGAAATTTTAAATATATGCTTTTATAGGTTATTTATTTTTGCTATTCATGTAAGGAAAACTGCTAGTATGACCCAATGAAACAAATTGATTCGTTCAATTAAATAATTGATTTTTAGTTTGCATTACAATTGGCCATCATTAAACCATCTATGGTCAGCATTGACTTACAATTACATGGACGTCGGGTCCGTGCTAAAAAGTGTCCGAACTTATAGGGCGTCAAAATCGTATACAGAGCGTCATTCACGCTTTGGTCTTCGTTTGTTCGACTGACAGCGAAGCAAACAAAATTAGACAGTACTGCGGTGACATTACAATTCAAATTCAACGTTTTAGCTTTTTCATATTCCTTTACATGCCACTACGTTTAAATAGGTTGACTTGGGACATTTTTTCGTGGTTTTTGTATTAGACCCGTCGTCCATTTATTTGTAAGTCAATGATGGTCAGGTTTACTTTTTATTTCAAATGGATTGAAATGAAGTATATGACCAATCATTATCAAAATTTCATTTTATGGTAGTGTGTTTTGGCGACAGCGTTCTGTACTAATCAAGGCTTAAGACCCTTCCACTGCTTTTTTCTTCCATGAAAAAAAACGATACATGTAGTACACAAGAAAAAAAAAGTGAAGTTACTTACAGTTTTTTCTATTTCTCTAAGATCTGTATGTTCTCCATATAACGCATCTATCATTTCTTTAGCTGCACTTTGGTATCTCGCAGGGTAGTAGAAGTTGAATGGAATGCGTAAAGCCTTAGCGTATGTGCTCCTTGTGACTTCTCCATAGTTTTTCTCGTCAACCCACCACGCGTACTGGTATGCGGGGTAGAGTTTGTCGCGAAGGTATTGAGTGAAAGCACTGGCTTCCGCTGCCTGCTTTATATTTAAGTGCACGTCTGTGCTGTAATGCTGATGAAATACAATTAAATCTTTAAAAGTTTCTAGGACTTTTAACACAAAAACGAAAGTGTAACAGCAGGTTTATAATGAAAATAATAATTTAAACGGTTTCTTACCAACGATTTTAAATAATCTACAACTTCTTCAAAATTTGTAAGCACCGTACGCCCGTCTCTCATAACAGGCAGTGTCCCTTTTGGTGTGAAAAATGGATTATTCGACTCTCGAACTCGCACCGGCACTCCTATAAATTTCATGTAGGTCTGGAATAATCACAAAAAAGATTAGTTGCTGCTGAACTGCCGGCCCACAACAAAAATATAGGTTATAGAAAAAAAACTAACCAAAACCTTCAAACACTCTAAATCTATTGAAGCGAGACCCCATTCTCCTCGCCAGATATCTAGTTCTATGCTAGCCATTGTTATTATTTGATACTAAAGTGTATTTTTCCAGATTTTGTAACATTCAGATTCAGTGACAGACAACCATTTTTTTCTTTTTCTATCAACAGACAAATTTTTCTTTTTTTCTCCAGTATTTATTACTTTCTTTTTTCTTATTCTTTGACACTATGGCGTCGAGCTTTTGGCTATATTTCATTGGACTGCCAATTTTTGGTAATTCTTCCAAATAATCTTCCTTCTTGAGATTCAGGATATCATTGTCGTCGCAGAAATTTGTTTATTGTCGTGAAACTTTGATGGGGGTTTTTGGGTATTATTAGGAAATTAAAAACGGGGAAAGGAAAGGGCGAAATAAAAATAAAACATATTTACAACGCCATCTGTCATTCATTGGAGTAAGGGAGTAACAGATAAAACAAATAGTATGCATTTTTTAATAGTTTTTGATGGGTGGGATGGAAAAATTTCCATTTTGAAAAAGTCATATTATTTAGAAAATAAATCTTTTTCCAATGCATTTTCCGGATATTTTTCCACCTCTGTCAAAAGTTCAATTACTGAACGAAAACGATGGGAGTTAAAATAAAAAAATAAACAGCTGGTTTTTTGACATTTTAGTGATTTGTGGATTCTCGTAATTTCGTTGAGTTTTCTTCTCGTTTTCCATTCCACTTATACAAGTCTTTGTGGCTCAATTTTTCTTTGAAGTTTATGAAATTCTCACAAAGAATACAAGATAGAAGATTACCTAATAATAGGAAGTCCAACACAAGAAACCTCTGGTAAACTATAAATGTCGATACAATGGACATTCATAGCCGGCTATCTCTATTTCGAGATAGCCGTGGTGATCATTATGATACTTCCCATATTCAGCCCTCGAAGATGGAACCGGTTCTTCAAATCACGTCTCTTTTCAATGTTCCAACAGCACGCTGCCGTATACTTCTATGTTCTTCTCGGAGTTTTGAGCTTATTCCTCATGGACGCAGTCAGAGAAATGAGGAAGTATTCACACTCTTCTGACTCAACTCATCTGCACCTTTCCGCCGAAATGAAAGGGAATGTCAAACTTTTCCGTGCCCAGAGAAACTTTTACATCACAGGTTTTGCAATCTTCCTTGCATTTGTTATTAGGAGACTAGTATCAATGATTATTATTCAAGATGAACTTATGCAGAAGGCTGACAGTATTATAAAAGAGGCAGAGTCCACTGTAAAGCTAGCTAAGTCCACTGTTTTAGCTAACACTTTGCAGTCAGAAGAAAACAAACACATGGAAGAAATTAGAAACCAATTGGAGACCACTGAAGAGCTATTGAGAATGGAGAAATTAAGAGGTAAAGAATTAGAAGAAGAAGCCTCAAAATGGAAGTTGAAATATGAGGAGATTGTTGCTCAAACTGGTAAAGGAGATAACTGAATTGTAGATCCTGCATGATCAATATATATTGGTCTAAAAATGGTGCTTTATTGTATATTTTAATAATTTTGAAATATTAAAAAATGTATTAAAAATATATTTAAGGCTTACGTAATAAATATAACTGATTGAAATAAATAAAAATGTTAATTATGAGTATTTCAATGAACAAATCGTTGAGGATAGTGCAATCTAAAAAAAGTGCTAGTTATGCGTAAACTAGCATTGGATTATGAGTTTCCATTTGGGTAATTAAGTGACCGAATCAAACCTGCATAAATGTTGTGGCAACCAAATTAGTCTGATTTATGGGAATCTATTGTTACCAGTCCATAGACAACTTAATGCTTATTGTGCAAAAATGTAAGTTGTAGCCATTGAAACACTAATAATGTTAAATCTCCCTACTGTAAAATTGTATTTATTTTTTACATTTAATACATGCATGCGCCTGCTATTTAATACATGCTGCTTACTAATACTAGAGTATGCGGATTAGCACTATTCCTGACAAAATGTAATTTCTTTTTTCTTCATTCATTTATATTTATTTTAAAAACTTTTCATAAATATAGTAACATTTTTGCAGTATTCTGTTTCTGTAATATTTTATTGTGTATAATTTTATTTCATCTATACATTGTATTATTATTTCTGGTTGAAGGTAACTATAAAAAGAAAACTCAAAAATTTTGTCAATTTAAATAAATATCTTAGAATTTAGCTCTCTACCCTCAATGTTTATATGTAAATAATTTCAATCTTGTTTTTCATTTGATCTCCATCGTGAATAGTTATTATAGCATACTAATTTGTCATTTAACAATAATATTTTGTGAATAAATAATAATAACATAATTTGCATTTTTTTTCATATTTTTTTATTGTTTTTACAATGACGTGTCCCTCAAGAATGCAGCGATTAATCTAAAAGCAATTTGTCTAAAAGGTTTTCTTAAAGAGTTCTATATATGTTACTTGTCTTTCTTACTTAATAATCTATAGCTTCATACCTAACAAATGAGATTTCATTAAAAATTTAATTACCTAATTAATAACTGATCACGGCTCCTCAATATTAGCATGGTAATGAAGTTAATACAACTAATCAACACAAATTTCCTCGAATCACAGTTTACTACCTAATAAAGGGATAATGGATAAGAACTATGATTAAAAATCAAAAAGTTAATCATATAATTAAAAAATTTTAATTGAAACTTACAAATAACAATTTTTATTCCAGTCTTATTACATTGATTGTACTGTTAATTATTAATGCGACATAGTTTATTTTTTGTACATGATTTTAGAAAGGTATGGTATATATCACACTACTGAAAACAAGACAGTTACTCATAAATAATTGGCATATTATGAATGTTTTATAACATTTTAGCACTCGTATTTCTTTTATTTCAACACAGAACTGCACAACACGTTGTGTTCCTTACTATATCCATTATTGAAATGCTATATCTCTTCATTGTTAAAGTATCAAACGTTGTGGTTTCTCCTGGCAGAAGGTCTTTCGAACACCTGCTTCATGCCGCCTCGGAAGTTGTTGAGCCTCGAGGCGGCTGTCTCGCTGCTCCACGCTGAGTCGAACTCGGTGGTGTCTTGGTCCACCAAGTGCGTGTACTTGGTGCGACCGGAACGACCGAACTTCTTCACTTGCATCACCTGTGGATTTAAAGGTTTTGATAGGTTTGGCGTGTAGAAATAGCGCGTAAACAGAATTACCATATTCGGGACACTTAATATACTTCATAAAATTACATATTACATAGAAGATACATATACTAACATTAATCTCAAAAGTACAATCTGTTTTAACTGCCTCTGTGGCCGTTACCATGCTAGACTGTCACGCAGAGGTCCCGGGTCGGGAAAAATATTTGTGTGGGCTAAATTTATTTCTCTCGTGAGTTTGGGTGTCATTTGTGATTGCTAAGTGTGTCCACGGCACCTGCGATACAGGGTTTCCCTAGTGCGGGGCTATCAGTGTATATGTTATTTATTTAATAAAACCTATTTTGTAAAGGTAAGTAAAAAAAAAAACAAGATAATGTAATAAATTAAAATTATGGTAGTTTGAACACCAGTTTTAGTAGAAGTAATATTTAATACATAGAAGAGCAGGGTCTCCTAACACAGGTCCTGTCAAGTCTAAGAGGAAACATCAGCCCCTGAGTTAAGCTTATGTTTAATTTTAACAATACAATACAATACAAAAATTCTTTATTGTACACCAAAAA